GCTGGAGGAGACCTGAGCATGGTCCCTGATTGCTTTTGGCAGGGTGTAGGGAGCATGCTGCTCTCTCCCAGCACTTAGCAGCTTCCCTGGGAACCATGCAGGAAAGGAGGAGAGGAGCCCAGACTTGTGGGAGACACTTTTCATTTCATGCCTAAGCCACTACTCCACTGCTCAGCCACATGGCTCCATTAAGTCCCGTTCTGGCTGTCTTCTTTCCATCAATCACTCAGTCTCCACGAGCAGCCCAGACACCGGATCTGGGTTATAAATAAGACAATCAATCAGTGATGTTATTAGATAAACAGAGTGGCAGAAGCCAAATTAATGCTTGGCTTTTTCTTGAAAGGGAGGAAAAAAAGAGTCAATTGCTTATTAGAGGACTCTGGTGTGGTCTGGTCTCCACACTGCAGCTGAGACGGGCAGGCTGTGCTTGGCTGGTGTGTCTGTGTGTAGGGAGGTTTGGGATGCTGTGAGCAGATAATCCATGTGGGTCACCCTGGCCAGAGCAGGGAGGGGGCTGGGGTAGACTGGAGGTGAGCTGGGAGGTTGTAGCACTGGGGCAGTGATGAGAGATGGGAAAACAGTGGTGGGAGCTTCCATCTGGGCAATGGGGAGGTTTCAGGGTGGGTTTAGTGGGGAGGGAGGGCATGAGGCTGCAGGCAGAAGAGTTTGGGGACCAGGGATTCAATTTCAGGACAGACATTAAGCCAGTCAGGATAGACACAAGGAAGAAAAGTCTCACTGCTTGGAGGCCTTTCAAACAACAGGCAGTCTCTTCTGGAGGTGAATCAAGTCCTTGTCTGGAGTCACCAATGAATAAGATGGTCCAAGACTGTCATTTGTGGTTTGCTGTGATGATCTGTCACCTCTTGTTACTACAAACCTCTACCCTACAGGATTGTGAGGATGCCCAAGGCTGTTTTTACCTCCAAGGTCTGCACCTGCAGCTCCATCTGCTTCTCTGTGTGGCGGTGGCTGATTAACTCAAAGCTCCTGGGCTCATTCCTGCACCAAAGATGTCAGAGAAGAGGCTTTCCTCATGGTGGGACAAGTTGCCTGAGCTGCTACTCCTGCCACTGGGGAAGAAAGCCCTAGGAGGAAGGCTATAATCTGCCAGAGACATCCAGTGTAAAGGAGACATAAGCTCTGTACAGGAAACATCAGTTTTTTCTGAATGAATACCCTGTGCTTTGGGCTGGGCTCTTGTATTTGCTGGACTTGACACTACTGCAAGTTGAGGACTGGGAGAGTCTGGGCTTCTCCAAGTCAAACTGGCTGTTTACAATCTCATCCCTCACAGATGCTGCTCTTTACTCTTTCATCCCAGGGACTGCCTTTTCACCAGCTCCTGCTGCTTTCACCTCCACCTGACACTTCTCCCACTTGTTGTGATGCAGGAAGGGTATCTTCCCCTGGAGGACCGGATCTACCACTGTGCAAATAAAGCAGCAGCTCTCCTCTGCCAACTGGCTCAAATATCCCACCTGGCTCAAATATCCCACCTGGCATTTCCACCCAACCCAGCAAGCTCTCAGCTCAGGTCTGGCAGTGCAGCTATGGGTGTGCTTTCTCAACAGCTGAGCCTGTTTTCATTCTCCATTCTCACCTCTGACTGTGCCAGACTGAAGCTCTGCCAGAGATGAAATGCACAAGACAGTACCACTGCTCCTCCTTCATCCACCTAAGCAGGTCACCCCATCACAGGCTGCACAACACATTCCTGACAGCCTAATTTGGGATAGATAAACAGGTTGTTATCTTTTGGGAGATCTAAGCTCATGAGAGGGCTGGCTATGGGAGTAGCTAGACTTTCTGACTATTTGGTCAGGGAGAATGAGGCCTCTGCTAGCACCCACTTAAGGGAAGGTTGCAGGAGGTGCAGTCATTCAGTCCATTCCACTGTCCAGCCCCTTGCTCAAGCATGGGGGGTTTCTGCTTCCTCCAAGGCTTCAAGTCCAGGAAATAGCTCCTGCTTTCCAGTCACACTTCTGATCCCTCTTGCAGAGCTTGGGGAGCTCTGTGCAAGGCTGCTCTCACATCAGCAACAGCCCAAAACAACACCTAATGTGGGATTTACTGCCACATATGTGCTGGGAAGATGCAGGGACCCATTGCACCCGGGTGATGTATTGGATTTCAGGTTACGTGATGCACAGGTTTCTCTGAGCATTGTAATTCCCTCTTTCTTCCTGTATGGATTTATACTCCTAAGTGGATGGATTTTCTGCTTGGCAGGGATGCTCCCCTGGGATCTTCCCCAGTTTGAAACATCTCTGCACATCTGTACATAATATTCCTGGGGCACTTAATGAGTGGGCTTTTACGACACCCCTTGCTTTATAGACTGCTGCTTAACATGGCCAGGAACCACGGAGGGGCTGACAAATGGCATCCCAGAGCTGGCAGAAAGCCGAGTACCAACTCCAGGTGCTGGATGATGCCTGGGGCTTTGTGTGAAAGCCACTGCTCTCAGGTGGCTTCTCACATAGCTGCCCTGAGCAGTGGAAGCAACAATCCCTTGGTCCCTGAAACAGCTTGAGAGGGACAAGTTTCTTCTGTTTAACAACCTGAGACAGCATGCCTCTAGACCAGCTATGGAAATCCTGGGAGGAGATGAAGGTGGTCTGTCTGTCTAGGATGATTCTGCCTAGCAAGGGCTGTGCCTGACATTTTTATCTCTGCTAAAAGCTGTCCCTTTCCCCTGCCCCAAAGAGCCATCTGCTATGGTAGATTACCCCAGCTTTTAGCACTGTGAATCCATAATTAGTGCATAATTAATTACCAGATGTTTTTAACACTAATGAAACATTAATAAATGATGGAGGCATGTTGTCTGGTAATGGAACATTAACCAGTGAACCAAGTCAGCACTGCCGCCAGCATGACCAAGCCAGAGACAGGTCTGCATCTGACTGAGCTCTTCCCTAAATAAAGCTCTGACATTGTTCAAATCACAGCAAGTGCCTGGTGGGAGCAAGTGACCAGCTTGGTGCTGCCCTTAGGCTTTGCAGAGCCAAGGCTGTGCCTCCTTGATCTCGGTCCTTCCATCCTTCCTTCCACCCACTCACCCATCCATCGTGATGGACACTCATGTGTCCATCCAGGCAGCCAGCCAGCCACATATCTCCCTGCTGTAGAGACTTAGTTGGGGCACCAGAGAGGTAATTTTCTAAAAAGTGGAGTTTTCCCACTGGGCATTGATTGATAGCACCCCTGCTCCAGGTGGTGCTCACAAGCAAGGCACATGGGGAAAGGACAGACTCCAGCAATGTGCTTTGCTGCATCCATTGGCCCCACACTGGGTCCCTGTGAGCCCTGCCCTGACAGAAGTTTAATTCAGAGCATCTGGGCCAGTGACATTTTCCTAACATGAAATTATTAATCAGACATGGGAAGTGCATTAGTTGTGACTACACAGCCTCCAGGCTGCAGTGGGGCACAGGCAGATTTCTATCCTCCTGCCTGCCTGAGAGATGTCAGGGTGCAGCCAGAGCTTGGGGACACATGGGACCCTCCAGGGCCCGTGCATGGGGAGATGTGGCACTTCCCCATCGCAACACAGGTGTCATATGGGGTGGTGACAGCCATCTCCTTTCCCTCACCAGGAGTGTCCAGGCTGGGCATCCCCCTTGCACCTTCTCAGGATGCCCTGAAGGCCAGCTTTTGGGTCTCCCACCCCTCTGGGAGGATGGTGCTATGGTCTCAAATGCCAGAGCAGGCTCCAGGGTGTGTGTGTGTCCACTTGATGTTGTTCTCATGTCTTCCCCAACTCAGCCAGCACCATGCAAGGAAGAAGGCAGCCAAAACCCCCCTCTCCAGATGGTAGGGAAATGACACCCGGAGCCGCCAGTCAACATGAAATGAACATTTAATGAAGACAGTCTCTCCTGGTGTGTGTGTGTGTGTGTGTGTGTGTGTGTGTGTGTGTGCGCGCGCATGTGTGCGTTGTCTCTGTGAGCTTAGTTTTATCCCCTCTATTACTTTTTTTTATTATTTTTCTTTTTTTTATATATATACATCTATAAAAAATTCAAATACAGCATGTCAACAGTGGGAATACTAGGACGTATGGTATTAAATACTGCGCTTGGGTCCAAGCAGGGCCAAGAGGAGGTGTCTTTACAAAACAGGACTTCGGGCAGGACGGAGAGGAGAGCAGAGCAGGCATGGGGACAGCTGGGGACAGCCAGGGACAGCAGGGGACAGCGGGGCACAGGTCTGCAGGGCTCCAGCTCTAAAGGCAACAGCAGAGCTATTCTGCTTTTGTTGGAGAATGAGACAAAGACATCAATGAGGATGATTCCCTGTATCCAACATGGTTAAAAGTTTGGGGGTGATGTTGGGTCGGGGTTGGGGATGGCGAAGGCTCCTGCAGGGTGCTGTGGAGGGGTGGTGGAGGGACAACTCTCCTAGGTGCTCAGCAAGGAGCAGGGGGGTTTTACTGGTGTTTCAATTCTTTTTTTTTGTTCCATTAAAACCCCACCAGCTCCCTGCTCCCCATCGCACTTGTGAAAGCCACCAGTTCCCCCATCCACCACCCCCTCGGAGGGGACCAAGATATGCCCCGCCCCGATCCGTGCACCCCTCCAGCTTCGCCACATGGTCAAGAGCTCAGGGGAGCGAGTCCAGTCCTTGGGTGACCCCCTTTTGCCATGAGGGGGTACACAGCTTGGAGCATCATTCCCCTCACCACCCCCCCGTTTTCATATCCCCTTTTCTCGGTGCGCGGCCGCGCAGGCGGCGGGCACGTCTTTGGCGTGGGGGGGTTCAGCTGTATGAGTGGGGCCCTCAGCTGCGCGCGGGGCCCGGGCTCGCTTCACTTGGCTGAGGAAAGGGGCACGGAGATGGGGCTCCTCGCTCCGGGCTGGGAGAGGATCTTGCGGCTCCCCGGGGGACGGCAGCAGCTCTGTCCTCCTCCGAAGTGGCGGTGAGAAGCGTGATACGTCCTCAACGTGTGCAAAATCGAAGAGCTAAGAGACTCAACCCGGGAGCGGGGCGGCGGGCGGCGGGCGGCGGGCGGTGGGGAGGCGTCTGCGCTGGGCTGTGGTGGATGGACAGATGGAGATCTGCAAGCGGGGAGCAAAGGGTCACCGTGTCGCTCCAAACTCAGCTCTGCTCAGTCACCGCTGGGACACACCCAGCAGAATTTCCACAGGGGAAATTCACTCAGGTACCCAAACACATCATTTCCACCTCCTCCTCCCCAGCCTAGGCCATGCCCACCCTCCCCTGGCTGCATGCCACCACCTCTCCTGGTGTCACACATGAGATGACACTGTCAGAGGGGAGCAAAGAACCCCATGCCCACAAGGGGCTTATCTTTGGGCACCAAAGGATGGGTGGCTTGTCCTTTATCTCCCAAAAGGGATACATGTGGCTGCTTCCAGGATCCATCCCCGGCCTTGGGCAATATGGGGACAGTAAAAGGGCATTTGGGTATGACACCCATGAGGCAGCAGCCTTGGTCTGTAGAGGAGAGGGTTGTTTCATGGCTCTCCAGGCTGCCAAGTCCATCCTAAGCCAAATTAAGGACATTTTTGAGATGTAATCTGAATTTTTTTCATCTCGGACAATTTTTCTTTCATCATTAAGCAAAGGCCTTAGATTTCCATTTGTTTTCTTTGCCTCATAAAAACATCAGCATAGAGGATGAGAGAGGGCTGCTAAGGACGAGGCATCAAAGAGTGACCACTTTGCCAACTTTGCTTGAAAAGCCATTTTTGAGACCTCTAGCCCAATATCCATCTGGAAAAGCAGTCAGGCTTGGTGCATTTACAAAACTACAAGAAAAACCCACAGGACTTGTTCTCAATGCCCTTCACCCACAGTCCAGCCAGAGCAGCCCCTTCCCAACCACATTAGAACCCTGAGGGTCCCCATATCCCTGCCCCATCCCAGCACCCACCTCCTGTCTCTTATATCTCAGATTTGGGAGATACTCACTAAATAAAGAAGACACTATAGGCAGCCACAACCAGTCCAGCTGTCCAACACACTGCCATGGCTCCACTGCCCACCACAGCCCCCTTGTCACAGATCTTAGTTGTGGGTGGTGCCATGAAAGAGGAGGTGCTAGCGCTTGTTGTCTCTGCAAGAAAGGAGAGTGGATGGTGAGGGGAGCTGGGATACCCTGGGATTCATTCCATATGAGCAGCCCTGATCTTCTGCTGGTGTGGATAGGACCTGGCCCCAAATTGCCCTTTTCAGTGCTATGCCACACTGGGGCTGAGTTAGAGGGCAGGGATGATTCAAGGGATGGTGTGATCCACAAGACTTTCCTGGCTGTGACAGTGGATCTACTGCTTGGAGATGTTTCTGCCATTAGGCAGAGCTGGGCATTCTTCTCATCCCATCCTGACCAGCTGAGCCACTCTATGCACCAGCTCTGTGGGAATTTTAGCTAAGAAGTCACAGTGAGCCACCAGTGCTCAGCTGAGAACATCCCTCGTCCACAGAACATGTCACACACAGCAGGTTGCATCTGCTGGGCTGGCTCACAAGGTTTTTCCTGCTTTGTTCTGAACCAGATGGATTGTCTATGCCTGCAGAGGGCTGCAGGGTTGCAGGGAGTGCTTGGATGAGCAGTCAGGCAGGGGCAACTTTGGCCACATACAGCTGGCCCCAGCATGTCCCTGGCCAGACAATCTCAGCTGATGTCTGGGGACCAGAGAGGCTATCTCAGCATCTTTCAGACTCCACTGAGGTGTCACAGTGTTGGAGCTGGGGTGTCCTGCATCAGCCCTGCCTGGCAGCACCAGGCTGCGTGTGCAGGGATGCGTGTGCAAGGAATACATGTGAGGGACACACGTGTGCCTGCACAGGGAGCGGGCAGGTGACACTGGGAGGGGTATTCACATTTAGCATATGGCAAGTGGGAATAGAAGCAAAACCAAAATGTGGACAGTAGCACTGCTGCATGGTGTTCCTGTACTCCTTGTAGAGGTTTATCCACCTGGGAATGGTGGCAGGGCTGTGAATCCCTGCTGCTGCCTGAATATCCAGGTGCTCTACCAGGTGCTGTTTTAAAAAAGGAGGGGGGGGTTTCTCTGCATAGGAGTCAAAGAAACCAGTGCAGGGTCTGCTCCATCCTTTCTGGGAAACAGAAGGCTGATAATACCCATTTGGACACAGTCCCAGCTTTTTCCTAGAAACAGACTTGTCAACTTGGTGGCTTTTATTTTGAACTGGTGTCCCTTTGAGCTATTGTGAGGGATCAGAGGTGTGGAGTGGGTAGGACTGGAGAGGGGAAGGAGGGCTGGAGCAAGACATAACTCCAGGGAACAACAACTACCACAATCACAACCACAACAACAACAACAACAACAACAACAACAACAACAACAACAACTACGATGGCCAGCCTCATTGACCTGGCCCAAGTATCCTGGTAAGAAGGATGGTGTACCCAGGTGAGCTGAGTCAGCATTCTACTGCACCTGCTGGCAGGGCAACAGGGTGGGGTAGAGTGCAGGATGAAGGGTTGCAGCTCCACGGGTGTTTGGGGGCTATCCTTGGCTGTGGGCAAAACTTGCATGGAGCCAAAGAGGAGATCATTCAGTCCAGAGTCCTTGGTTCCTCCTGGAGGAAACCTGTTTGTACTGGGAGGAGGCTCTTACCTGTGATCTGGGCTTCCGTGGTGAGATGCTTAGGCTCCTCTGTCCAGGGGGTGGCATGAACAGCCACGCTCCAGTCACTCCACGTGCCAATGTCATTGTCTTTGGCTGCCACCTGGATGATGTATTCCTTGCCAGCGTAAGCGTCCGTGATGGTGTGCGAGGTCCCATCCGACAGCTCGACCTGAGGGCAGCAGTGGGGAGAGGAGGGTAGTCAGAAGAGTCCCCAGGAGGTGTAAGGCAATCAGTCTTTTTAGCTTTTGCAGCAGTTTTGGAAATACCGAGGCGTTGTGGGCAGAGGCACAAGAGGGAAGTAGAGGGAGATGCTCCAGCTGCAGCTTCATTAAATGTCTAAAGACCTGGTTCCACTCCCAAACTCACGATGTCAGAGTGGAGCAACTTCCTCTAGAGGTCACCAGAAACTAGCAGATGTGTGTCCGGGCTCCCTCGGACATGTTAGGGCAACTGGGAGTTGGATATTGCAGGCAGTGGCTGGGATGTACAATGCGCTTTCAGGGCACCACTGCCAGTGCTGGGAGGAGGCTTCCCCAGCAGCAACACCTCTGGCCAGTCTGCTCCCATGCCTGCTGGCATCCCATTGTTTTGGCTTGCATCCCCTCCAGCTGGGCCCTTGGACAAGTATCAAGTTTTGTCCAGACATCCTTCCTAGAAACCATTCCCTCTGTCCCATTGTCACTGCTGTCTGAGATGTAGAAGACCCTGCCATCCTTTGTGTTGTAAAGTGCAATGGTTTAACTCTATTTAACCTTCCAAGGGATCTCTGATCCACTTGGAGCTTGGCTCCAGGACAGAGGGATGCAGGTGCTCAGCGAAATGCACCCCAATGGCACCAATCTTGGTGAGCAAACACATGTGGCTGACAAAAGGGGAGGGCTCAGCATCCAAGTGACCAGGGCAAGAGTATCTGGCAGAGGCTAAGTGGGATACTGCCCTCCACCCCATCTCTGAGACTGAGGACCAACATGCTGCCCACTTGAGTACCCCTCTGCTCTGTGTGTGGTTTAGGGGGCACATAGGCCACTCCTGCCCAGACACTTTTCTAATAAAGATGCCACAACATGAGGGGTGGAGTGGGACTGACACAGCCCACCTGTGAGCACCAGTGCACAGCCAGGGCCTCTAGCAGGGCGAGCATCACGTCCATGGGTGGGGGCAGCTTCTTGGTGCTACATGTGTGGGGTCCTCCACATGTCCCCAGCCACCCAGGAGAAGGTCAGGAACAGAATCATGGGAGGGAGGGAGGAAGGGCTGCACTACGGAGTGCCCAGGAGGTACCTGGGCCAATGCACCTGTGGGATGAGGCTGCCCTGGCAGTGTGGCTATACACACACAAGGAATGGTGTGCATACTAGATGGTCAGTGCCATCACCCCATCACAGCTTGCACACCTTAAAAGTAGGAATTCACCCTGAGAAAGAACCAGCCCTTTTCCTGTCCCTTCTGTGCAGCACATGCAACAGCCGAGCACAGATGCAATCCCTTTGTTGTGAAAGCTGCAGCCCCCTCCAGGCTTTTACTGTCACTCTGGGGGATTCCTAACAGGAGGAGGGGCATTTTTGCTTTCTTGCTCCAAGTGAAAGCCTTTCCTTCCCTATTCCCACTTCCACAACATCAGAGCCTTTGGGCTCTGCACTCCCAGCTGCTCCTGCCACCCGACCTGAGCCCCACATCTGGAGCACATCTGGATGCAGGCCTGACTGGTCTCCCTCACAGCCACTGGGAGCCCAGACACCTTGAGGTGGGTAGGCAGGAGACAAACTAGGTTATGAATCATCTGGTCTGCTAGGCAGGGCATCTTCCTGGAGTGTATTGGCACAGTGAGGCTCTCTGTGCCACCCTGGGAGTTCTTTGGAGGCACCTACCAGTGTAGATGGCAATGCCAAGGGAATCAAGTTCATTCCTGATGATAATTAAATGAAATGAAACCTCACAGGGTCGGCTGCCAACACCCTGCTGGCTTGACTTGCTCTGTGCTGGCCTATGGCTTGGAATTGCAGAATGGGGACATTCTGGGCTTATCCAGCTGGTGGTATGACTCTATCCAAGACTTCCAGCATTCTCTGAACCTCCTGGCTCCTCCCTAAGACCTGCACCAAGCAGGCTGCAGGTCGGCCAGCCCTACTAAGGTCCTTATGACGTGGCCAGGCTGCTTTCCCATCAGGATCCCATTTTCCCCATCCCAAGATCTCTCCCAGCTTTCCCTTGGGAGCAATTCCTGCTTCTTCCCACCCACAATCAGCAGCTCAGTGTTTGTAGGTGGGGTGTCACAGGCACAATGGGGTTAAATCTGTGCCTTGCCTGGGTAGGGGGAATGTCCCTCCAGGACCCAGACCTTCCTTGTAGGACCTGGGAGGGTGTTGCTCTAAGCTCAGCTTTATACAGCAGTTAAAAAGAGAAAACACGGATGATATCATTGATCTCTCCCCACACAACCTCTGGATGTAGAACTTCTGAGCTGGGCAGCTACAGATATATCCAGCATTTGTCATGGTGGGGAGAAAGCTACTGGGTGGGTGAAGTGCCACAGCAAATGGGAAAGCACAACAGGATTGGGTCCAATTGGATACAGACAGGGAGAGACAGAACTGGGAGAAGACACACTGTGGAGGCTGTGGGGGGACGGGTGAACACACATCATCAAAGGCAGAGGGAGAAATTCCTTAATCCATGTCCTCGCCATACAGAGACAAAAGTTGGAGGAAGGCTGTGCATGGTAATTTTTTGTCTGGGGTGGGGGTTTGTGTGTCACTGCCTGCCTTTGTGCACCTGCCAAAAGTCACTCTGACTAGCTGTGAAGTTCTGCCCAGATTAATGAGGGATCAGTAGCCAGTGCAATGCAGAACTATTAGCATTGGGGAAAAAAAAATAAAAAGAGAGAGAGAGAGAGAGAGAGAGACAGGAGAGAGAAATGAAAAAAAAAAGCCCTTGAACCCAGTAATTCAGATGACAGCTTGCTGAGGACAGCATGGGCTGGGATCCCATTCCCTTCCATGGTCACATACCCCCACATTCCTTCTTGGAAAGATTATAGAGCTGCTGAGTGCCCACCCACAGTCCCAAGCACCAGGATGAGCACGTGGGCCAGCACCACATTGTTGGGATGGAGACAGACTCTTAGGGCAGGCTGAGGAGAGGACTGCCTGCCACTTGGCTTTCCCCCTGTCCATGCTGGTCCCTCCTGCACAGGCTGGAGGCCTGGGGACATCCACAGTGGTCACACACACTCCAACACCCATGCCTACCATCTTCCAGTCCCTGCCTGCAGACTAGTGTCCTTGTCTCACAGTGCTCAGCACATCAGGAGTTAGGGAAGCTATTATCCTGTCTGAGCTCCCCTCATCCTGCTCCTATGGCCCCCAGCCCACCCTGGCAGTAAAAAAATATCACTGTGCCTTGTTCCCACCCAGGCTCTGCTCCTGGTCCAGGGTGATGACCAGGTAGCAATTACTTGTGAATAGGGTGATGCATGGGCAGGTCTGAAAACCAGATGGTCTTTGGAAGGAATGGGGAAGGGGGGCAGGGAAGAAAACACCACCCTCCTCTGCCCTGACAGGTGGGTTGGGTGCTGGTGTGTCTTGGAAGGAGGTGCAGAGGGAGAAGGGGGGATCAGATGCCTCCTTTTCTGCATCCCACATGAAAATGTGTTTGCTGGCTCCCCTGTGGTGTCAGTGGCTGTTTTCCATTCCTTGACACCTCCTGCTTTTCAGTGCAGCTCCTAGAGTGGGAAGGGAGTGCTCCACTGGCAGTATGGAGATGAGGACTGGTGCCCTTCTGTCCCAAGGCAGGGATGAACTATCTCTGTGTGTGACAGGACAGTGACCATGCACCTGTCCCAGGTGCTGTATCAAGCCTAGATACTAGATTTTTTTAATCCCCAAAATAAAATAAGCACCCTCCCTGGCTATTGTAAGATGAAGATAATGTGCTTACACAGCCTTTGCTACCCACAGCAGTCATGGGAAGAAACCTCTTCTAAGAGCATAACTTGGAACTGCCAAATATCTGGCATCCTTGCAGCCTCCTCCTCTGGATGCTACTCGAGTTATACTGGATGCTGGGGGAAACTGGAACTGGGATAGGGATGTGACACACAGTGAGCTCTATTTCGCAGCCACTTTTCCCCACAGCAAGGGCCGGATCCTGCCACTGGGCTGCAATGAGCTTTGCAGGGACTCAGATACACAAACAGCTGCTGTTTCGGGTGCCTTCAGTCCCTGCAAGTGCAGGGGGATCTCAGCAGGGCTCCCGCCTGTCCTGGGGAACAAGATAAACCAAAACCAGGAGTAATCCCCAAATAAACTGCCCTGGCACTGGGAAGTTCAGGATGGTCACTGCAAATGGACAGTGAAGCTTGAGAAAAGATGTCACCATATGGAAAATAAATGTTTTACTTTTCCCTTTGAAAGCCACGTCTGGAGAGTAAATATGTCTGACAGTGATTACTAACAAAGGTACCCCCAGATACTGCCTCCTTCTTCAGAGCCACAAGAATCAGTTGGTATAACCCTAGACAAAACTTTCTACCTGGACACTGGGATAACCAAAAGTTGGGAAAAATTAGTGACCCCCTCTTATTCTCTGTCAGCCACATAGTGGAAGAGCCACTCCAGCAGGGTCTGAACTGGGCTCTCTGCTGTCACCCCCTCCTGGAAAGGCAGCTGTGGTGCTGCACAGAGCCCAGTCCTGCTATGGATCTGGGAGGATGAGCTATCACAGGGCTCCTCTGCAGCCTGGGCTGTGCCACACCAGATGCAGCTGAATGAATCCCTTCTAGCTCAAAATAAGGACCATCTTTGAAAGTGGGGGTTGTTACAGGAAAACAAGTTAACAGGAAACTTTCTCCAGATGTGCTGGCCCCCTCCTGCCAAGTGACAACAGAAGTCACTTTTGCTTGTGGCTCTGGGGAAGATAGGATCAGGGATGCTGAGGGCACTCAGCAACAACTCTAACCCAGCTGGCACTGGCATATGCTGCCTGCAGATGCTTTTAGCATGCTGATACAGTGGGCTGAGGGTGAAAGCACCTTGTGCATGGGCATGGCAGAGCACTGACACTTGCCTGGTGTGGTCTGCATGTGGGCATGGAAAGTTAGGCTTGTCAACACCTTCCTACCTGCTTTTAGCTGTGTGAGCCTGCAGGTGAGGACGTGCACATGTGAGTATT